AGAAGAAAAAAGCAAAATATAATCAAATTTTTATTTCAAATATAACTAAATATCTGAGGATATCTATATTTCTAATATTAAAATTTTCCAAAAATATAATAAAAAATTCGAAAATATCTCCAATATTATCCGATATATACCAATAATCCTAATATAAAAAAGTCCTATAAAATACATTATATTATTCTATATCTCAAAAATTCCTAACAAAACAATTTCTAATCCGTAATTCTTCATTACCAACCATTAAAGATAAGACGATATATAAAATAAGAAATAAATATATTTCTTTTAATAGAAATTATTCGATTTAATCAAAAAATATATATAAGAATTAAGATAATCTAGATCTATCGAAAACTCGAATTTTGTATATTTTCGTTAGGGAATATCACCTTCCAAAAGTAATAAGGCTAATAATTATTTCGAAATAGAAGCAGAAAAGAGCTGTCCGTGGCTTCTACTTCTCTAGCCTAAATCTCATCCTTAAGCCTTAAATCTAAAATCTACGTCCTAAATCCTTGAAAAACTTGAAAAAAAGCAAAGTTCGACGAAAGTTCGCGCATGTCCCCCCACAACCCCGTATTCCGAATCAACAAGAAAGCTACTTGGGGACTACCAAAATTGACCGGAAATTTTATGGAATTGGTGACCGGTTTTCATGCACAGATGAAACAATTGAGGTTCGCGGTTGCGTGTTTTGCAACAACAGTAGCAAGAATCTGTCATACAAACATCATAACACAGCACAGGTTCAAAACGGATCTTTAAAGAATATACCTCACAACCTGGCAAGGAATAATGCTCATGTCGGCGCAGTCTCGGACAGTAGCAGTGGAACCATAGAGAACACAGACCAGCACGTAGATGCCTTGCTGTACCACGTTAATGCATGTGCCAGGCACCGATGTGTCTGCCAGACTACATGTGTTGACTACGGAGCGAGGTGAAATCGACTGAGACATCAAGGGCAAACAACGTCAAGCAATCCTACTACGCAGAGGCAGACTACGAGTGCCAAATTAGTCTCCACTGCACCAAACCTTCGGATTTTCCTCCTCGATGCAGTGAATGACATTTGTAAATTCAGAGACTGATGTCTGATCTTGAAGGATTCAACATCAGTTGCAAGAGCATCTGAATGCATGAATTTGGCGAGTACCAGCCCTCCTCAGCGGTAAACGTTTATGAACCTAGCAACACCGAGACTCAGCTAGACTTGACAACTTGCTTCTGACAAAGGCCAGTTGGCAACGAGTCGCCCCTCTTATGCAGTTCGGTGACTCGCTGCGGTTGGTCAAAATTGGAAAGGGAGTCTTTGACAGTCCACCCCTCTCTGAAACCGCCACTGCTGCAAAAGAATGATGCCGTGGCAGTGCGACAAAAATAGGCGATTGTAAGCATGGCAATGGTGCCCAAGAAGCCAAAACAATCACTCGGCTGCTCAGCCACGCGATCATAGGCATGCGTTTGGCGGCTTTTCCATATCAACTTATCATTGAACTTATCATCTTTCGATCGTGATTCGGAAGCCGCGAAGCTTACACCCATGTTTGAAGGCCGCGAACTGTGTCTGGCTGGAGTGCTGACACATGTCGAAGCACTGCCGCGACTCAGCCTTCAGCGGCAGAAATGACAAACGCTGCCCGACGTCTGGTTCCCTCAAAATGGAAAGGAAAGCAAGCCTGGTTAGCGGGATCCAATTACAGCCAATGAGTGGCCAAAGCCCACACACATGGTTTTCATGGCCACCCGCACTGTACCCACTGCTTTCAGAATGCTTGGAAGTGTTCACAGTCATTCGCCCCACTCAGTATCAAATCTGTACTATGAAAATCGTCCCTTCCTTAGACCTCATGCTGCACAATGTGTAACCTGTTGCAGTAGCCTCTTCGATGACTGCTCGGTCATTCCAAGCAGACACTTGGACATCGCACGATGGCATTGCGCATCCAGGAGCACGCCCACGAGCTTGCGAGCAAACAGCTCCGACTACAAATGCGCGTCAAAACTTTCGAAGTTGGCCATACCGCTTCGAACTCTTCGCGCAGTACGCCAGAATCATTCACATCTCAGTTCAGCCGATCATGCAGGAGTCTCGAACCAAAAAAGGCCTCCTCGAGCCTCACCACGTCAGCTTTCTGTACACAAACTGTATCAAATCGTGAAGGGCACCTTGCTTTGCAGCAACGTGTATATCGCCACCAGGGCGACACTGTTTGAGTCGATCCATAAGACATGGCCGCGATCTCACGTCGTAACACGAAGAAACAATAGCTTCTTCAGACAAGCGAGGCGTGGATCAGGCAGTGCTAGTGGATCCGATCCTACACTTGAATCTTCTGCTGAGGCTTGCAATTCCTCTGGGCCCAAAGTAGGAAACAACAGGGTCGGCAACTCAGAGTTGCAATCCTCTTGCAGGCTGCACAAGGATCACGTAGTCGTGAAATGTTCAATAATGTCAACGAAGCCAGGTAAAACTATTCGGAATGATCTACCACCTGTTTCCACTGATAACCTGACCAGTTCAATCATGAAGCCTCGTCGGCGTTGACTCAGATCTATGCTCTTCCCGCACTTCTACGATAACGGCTTGCAGCTGTCTTCTGCGACAGAAACCGAAGTCCAGTCACGGAGCAGATCAGCCCTCCAAATCGTTACAGTCGCCTGCCAAGCAAGCTTCTCTACCTAATCTCGTGCGTGATACTGCAGCATGCAGATTTAAGCGGCGGACTTGAAAAGCTTGCACGAGTGGAAACACTTCCCGTCGAAAATGCGGTCGGGCGCCTGCGAGGCAGCCCTGGCATGTGTCATCGCAACTTCGCACCCAGCACTGCCTGCCCTTTGCTTCCGGCAATGCCGACGAAGCCTCCTGGACTACAGCAGAAATCAACTCTAGTCGCCAGGCATGGTCTGCCCAAGCCTGGGTTGGGAAGCGGATAGCACTTTGAAGGTGTGTAGGCAAGGCCTGGTCACACAATGCCAGCGCACATGCTGCAGTTAAGGAGTTAAGGAAACATAGCGCTCAAACAACGACAGCTGCGACACCCACCTGCTGGATCTGCGTAAGCCTATTCTCCTGGCGAAAACCCGCATCAACACAAGTTCTCGCAAGTCTCGAGTTCGGACTTGGAGGCGAGTAACAACTTCGGCCAATATGAGAAAGCTTGGTGAGCATCCCTCTCCATGGAAACATCTCGATACGAATACACGACCCGGAAGCTGAGCCGCTCTGGGAGAACGACTTAACCTGGGAGTAGCTGTGTTTATGAGATCATTTTGCTGTGCCTTGGGGCATCGACATTGGAAGCTTCCCAGTCTTCCAGAAAGGGCATCGTGCTCAACGAAAATTAAGACCAAATCTAGCTCACAAGTTCAGAAGGTTGTGTTCCGGCTCCGATGCGGCGTCGGCACAGGATTATCGATCTACCATTCAAGCTCGACTTACACCATTGCGCCCGCTGATTTGGTTCTGGAGACTTGCAGAGTTGATTGTCTTTCCAATGTTGAAACCATTTAACGAACGACGAAACCATTAGCACTAGCATTGCCAGAAGGCCGACTTGCATCTCCCACAAATCGAAAAGGCTCGTCGGGTCTCTTCGGTAAACCAGAAACCGGCCAGTCTCAGCAAGCCGCAGCACACAGCTCCCTCTGTTTTAGATTTGTTCGCTTCACTTCGGCTCCTAGCCGTAACTCAAAAGCCCCTGGATTCGCTGCTTTTAATGCGCCACGCTGGGACTGAAAAATCAACCCTCAGCCTGTCCTAATGTCTGTAGTGTACCCCGGTCTAAACAAAAGGTGTCGACATGGAGTGCGTCTGGATTTACCGAATGTTTTTAACATTTATGGACATCCTTGGTGCTCTCCTCGCTTGTCTACCAGTTCTTAGAGCGCGTCCGTTCACATCCACTACATCACCAGTGTGCGATCTTGAAAGCAAAACACTGGGTCAAGCCCTGTTGAGTTCAATGAAGCCGTCTGCGGGCTTCGGGAAATGGGTGGCCGCTGATCGAATCCTAGATGTTAGCTTACATGGAAAAATCTCCTGACTTTTGAGGCTGTCGACTGTGCAATCGCATGCAGTGGCATCTAAATGTGCTTTTTTATCTTGACAGCGAATCGAGGAAACACTTCTGATATGTTAGAGCCGCTCGAGTACAATTGCTGGACCGGCTCCTCCCGCGTATCGGAAAAACACAGATTTGAGGTGCGATATACTCACGCGGCAACAAACGTTTTTATGCAGAAGGAAGCAAATTTCAAGCGACTGGCCTTCAATCCTGCCACGCGACATTTTTCTTTGCCCAAGTCTCGCCTTACCCTATGTAGCCAGCATCAGCTCGGGACCCAGGGTGACACAGTCAAAGTGAGTCACTGGTGGGTTCAATGCTTGAAGGCTACATGGCTCAATCTAGACTCCAGAAGGAACCAAACCGTACTGTCCGGACTTGGGCTCATAAGGTTGAACCGACACTGAAACACGGTTGTCTTACCATGCTAAATGGAGCCATGTGATTTGAATTGCGAGCCGCGCCTGGATTCGACGCACTTTTCCCAGCTCGGCGCGAGCTGATGCAACAAAGCGCTCAAGTTCCTGCACAACGATTCATGCATCTGAAAGAACTGGGCATAAGCTATCCAAATCAATGCCCAGTACATCCGAGGCCAATGCGTGGAGCAAGCTTGATTGCCCAGTCAAGCTCGACTCGGCATGGTAAGTACAAAGCATTTATGGGTGCTCGACTCGGTGTCAACCACGTGCTGCATGATGTTCGGTGCACATGCACGCATACTGCATAGGTGCCTGAAAAATGCACGAAGTCTGCATACCAGCCAACCAGCTTACAAGCACTCGAATGCTTCAACAGGAGGAGCGTGTCTTGTTTGCCTGCTTCTGCTCGCTTCATGACTGCTACTTGATAAATGGACATCTCGCTGTCGTTTCTAGTGAGATAGACAGCCTGTGGATGCCTCTCTGCGTCCACTCACACCACTGCCTGTGTGGCGCTGTCACGTTGTTCCGCCGTTGGCGATGAAGCAGCTTGCTGCATCAACACCACTGCGCGGCCAGGACGATATGGGCCAAGCTTGCCTGTGTGTGTCGAGAACACGCACGGCTGCTATGGCAGCACGGAAAGCAGCAATAGCGAAGTTCTGTAAAGATGTGGGGCTACTGGCTCCGCGAGAACTGAGCTTGCCACAGCGGTGAATGTAGTCGTCAAGGGCACTGATGTCGGAGGTCTGCAGGACACGCGGCATTTCACCGCATCGTACATCAAGCGAAGCGTTGCTGGAGACAGAATCTAAACATATCTGAGCCTAGGGACTTCTGCTGTACGGCTCTCTCTTAAAAACACGGTTCAAAAGTTTGCAGCCAAAACACATCTTGTAATCTGATATGAGCGAGGTTTTGCAGCAGAGGTGCGCGCTCACGGGATACAAACTTTCGAGGCACACCAGCCTGAAGCTCACGCCCGCAGGCCACAAACCGTCCGGTGACAATGCCTTCGGGACAGCAGCATCCAGGGCCGGAGATCGTATGTATCTGATAGCATGCTGTACTGTGCTTCAGTCTGCGGCTGAATGCTACTCAACTTCGACTGGCCATGCTTGACTTTATGCGACTTTGGCATTCATTATGTTACACGGTATGACTACTGTATACCCACAAAGTCGTCCACCAGCCATCAATGTAGCAGTCCGTCATGGAAACCTTTTGGCTTTGTGCTGTATCTATCGTAAGTACTTGCTTGTACATTACGCGCTCATGTATTCTGACCGTATACTGATTGATGCTGTGAGTATCACTGCATGGGCATCGTGCTGTTTCTATTCATTTCTGGTAAGGCACATGTCATTGCCAGGTATTTGCCGTCCACCAAGCGATGTGGGGCCGACCGCGTTGGGTCCACACGAAGCTTGAAGGGCGGGTAGGGCCTCAATTCAGCAGACTCATGTGAAAGTCGTGCTGATCTTTCTATGGTTCCCTTTTTGGGACTCCCCCTATTGCTCAACTCGATGCCATGAACTGACACGCAGGTCATGAACATACATCATTCCAGCTTGGTCTAGACAGAGT